GCTGCCCTGTCTGCCCATTCGTCTGACTGACGGCATATCTCTCATTTTACAAGTTTTATGACTTCTGCTGCGAGTGAATCAGCAGTTCTTGAAACCCATCTCTGGTCCTGAATAGCTGTGCCCAAATCAGCATTTCGCCACTTGCCCTGATTAAGTCACCAAGGCAGAGATAAGAGAATGGGAGAGGATACTTTGGGGGTGAAAAGTGAGGGACAAAGATAAGATGGAAAAATTAGTTTTATTTGACTTCTAGAACAGTGCTAGTTAACTTTCTATTACATTTATTAGACGTGCCTTAACACAGTTGGCTGAACAAAAACAAACCGTTTTACAAATGATCCTTGGTTCAGGGATTGTGATGGCATTTTCAAACTGCAGAACTAACCATTTGGTCATGGCTATGCTGGACAGATTCCCTGATAGTATAAATAATCATTAGTTGCCTTAGGAACTCATCAGAGTTGCCATATTCAGAGTCGAGTGGAAATCCAGGGGGGGATCTTTTGGGAATTCGCTGTAAATCCGGTGGCAAGTTTGGAATTCTCTCTCCAGGAACCCGGTCAGCACAACACAGCAGCTGGGGATTATGTGGTAATGAGGATGGAAACCATTACACACACACACACACACACACACACACACACACACACACACACACACACACACACACACACACACACACACACACACACACACACACACACACACACACACCCCTACCACACACACACACACACACACACACACACACAAAAGCACAAAAATATGAGAACTAACACACGTATGTAGACAAAGACACACACTGCATAAACACACAAAGAGAACACACACACACACACACACACACACACACACACACACACACACGCTCACACTTCTCAAACCTTAGCTTAACCGCACTGCTAGCTGCTAATCACCCCCTCCCAAACCACACGCACTCTGGAGGGGGCAAATTGGCACACAGCTGGAGAGGAGTTAAGACCGAATGAGGAGGCTGGTGGTCTGTGTTGTGTGTATACGTGTGCATGTGTGTGTAAGAGAAAAAATAGACAGAAAGATGGCAACAGATGTAATGAATGAGAGCAGTTTCCTGGCACATGCAACATCTCGTTTAACACAATGGAGCGAGTAATCAAAGCAAAATGAAAGAATTGAAAACTTTCCAGGCAGAACAGAGAAGCCATTGGGGTCTCGGTTTGAAGTGAAATCAGCTATGGAATATCTGTTTGGGGATGACTTCTATAACACTGTGTAGATAGAGCACTCAGGCTCCATAGGTTATATATCAGAAAGGATAATTGGAACGATTTCTCCAGGACTGACAGTAATTGAGAGTAATGTGAGCCTCTCTAATTCCCTGGTATTTAGGAGATTTCTGATGGATTTAGGAGGAAACAAGGAGACGTTATATGTCTTCTGCACCTGCCTCGTTCACTCACACACACTTTCACTTGCTTGTTCGGAAAGGGCTGGATACAGCTGTTGTGGTATAGTGGAAACTTACACACCCACACAGGCGTAGCCATCGCTCATCCCAGCGTGTCTAAGAGAGACACAAATACCTTTAAGAAAGAAGGACGAGATGTAGCATCGTGACACAACGCCTTAGAAAAACACAATGACAGCCGCTTCACAGATGGATCGTCTCAATAAAAGCAAAGCACAAACACAAACAACGCCGCCTCAAAATGAGAAGAGAGGAAAAGTTTGTGATGAGCAGGGGGGAGGGTTACAGGAGGTGAGAAAAAAAGAAGGTGCGAGGAGACAAAGGGGGAGCAAAGAGTGATTTTTAAAGGGAGAGAAAGAGGAGCGAGGGAGAGAAGAGGAGATAAACTACTCCACCTTTAATTCAGTTATCTCTTTATGAGTCTTTACAGAGCTGACTGCTCACCCTGTGTTGATGCGCATTCAAAACGGATTTTCGCTTTGAAGTGCTTCATATATTCAAATCGCATTCAACAGTGTCAGATTCTTTGTCAATGAGAGTCACGATATTCTGACAGAGTGGTAATAAAACAGATTAATAGCTCAAATTGCTCCACAACTGCTGTCGTAATGTCATTTGGGGAGGCGCGGTGAAAATGGAGCCGCTGTGATCTAATGTCCCTCGAGTTAAACTAAGTTTAACTAAGTTCCATCTTCCTAATGTGATACTTCATTATGAAGCTTTAATCACAGACACATCAAAGTCCAAACAATGAGGCAATAAAAGCTTAAGTGAGAAATAATGAAGGGTGGAGAAATATCCTCAGCAAGGGTAGGAAAGGAGGGGAATGATTATTTTGTAAGAAGATTGCACTGGAATAAAAATGTATTGTGTCACATGCAACCTAGGTTTTTGTTTTTAATCTTCTAAGTATGTTCTTCCTTGTTCAGTACAACTATATACATCAAATTATCACATTAAGTTACATACAAAATGATGTTTTCTTTATATACTGTATACGTTTTTTTTTTTTGGGGAGGCCTTCGTTGGATAGGACAGCCGAAGAGAGACAGG